GCCATCTCACTAATCGCCAAAGGGTTGAAACAGGAACGCACACAACAGAGCACCACAGACAAACCACTTAACTCAGACTGACGCCAGCTCACTAACAGTCGCGGGAGACCCCCAGCTAACACCACCTAGCAGCACAACTCGTAACTACAAAGCATGCGCGCGCAACAGGTCATTTCCGGTTATTTTTGGGTCCCCCTTCATATATTGTCTATACAGTATAGTCAGTTCCACAATGTATCACATGACTATCATCATGTAAAAATTAGTCAGTGCTGAAGCTGTAATTGTAGTAAAATTTAATATAGATTGTTGTTATAGATTGGACTCTGCTCGCATTATTAATGATTTTTGTGTAATTTCCACATGTTGTGGAACTGACTGTATCTTACAGAAATATAGCTTGTGTGACAGTATGCATCGATCCTTTGTAATGGTTGTTGCAGTTTGCTGTGAAGTTTATACTTGAAGAGTCATATAGATCCTAGCAGAAAGTTTATGTTAAATGTCACAGTTGGAGACTAATAAAAGAAAACACGCATGGTATTTCAGAGCATTTATAACCTAGATTTTACATTGCACTTATGTTGGATATTGTTCGTTGTTTGAGGTATATATTGTTAGCAGTGGCTGGCATTGAACCCAGGACAGCAGTACAGACTTATGCTGGAGAATATAATTGTCTATACAGTGGAGTCCTGATGTTTGAGAGTTTATAGCATTCCTGAAAGTGCTTGTTGTAATGGATATCTGAAAGTGATTGAAATATATAACTACAAGTCCATCCCTTAACTTTCATTTATATATAATACAGGAGGGCATGATGGTATCAGTAATGCATATCTGGCAACATTTCTTGTTCTGTTCTTGTTCTTGTTCTTGTTCATGTTCTTGTTGTTCCTTTAAGTGATTATGTAGTATGAAAATAGTGGAAATAATTCAGCATTCTCATCACCATCAGCATCATGTGAACCCAAGAACTAAAGATGTTCATTCTTAAACTCACATATATTCTGCATGTCTGCAAGCACAAATCACCCGTGCTCTGTTCACAAGTCCTGCCCATGTTCCAAATACAAGTGGCTGCAAATCCATACATGTGAGAATTTATATATCAACTTGCATCAGAGTTGAGTGACAGACATGTTACGTGAAGCAGTTTCTCATGCTGATACATGTATGCAGTGTCATAGGATCTGAATGCCACCAAGACTGGATTTCATGCAAGTTACATATGTTAGTGATGGTTGTCAATCAACCATTATACTTACCTTTAAAACACAATGTTATGACAGCGGCATGTAAACTGTATGTGAATCCATAACTGTTTAGTTTTCTGTCATATGACGCATTTGGAGTATAGGGTAACTTCAGTCACTATGCTACAAGCCTGAAGTTGCTTGTTCAAAATCCAGTGAGGTCGATTTTTTCAATTTCCATAATCCTTCCAGCCGCACTATGGCCCTGAGATCGACTCAGCCTCTAACAGAAATGAGTACCAGGAATCTTCCTGGGAATAAAGGGCGGCTGTTGTGTAAGGTTGACAACCTCACCACCATCTGTGAGCCAGTTGTTTAAAAGATGTGGAAGCATCAGCCTCCGACGACCCTACAGGCCTTCATAGCGTGTTACAGGGATAACTTTACCCTTACCATGTGACACATTTATGTTACCACATTCATAATGAAGATGACCCTGGATTGAATGCATACCATCTTTAGTTCTCACGCTTATGACAGTTCACTGGTAGCAAAGATGTCATTAAGTTCATCACACAGATGTATCATATCAGTATCATTAACAGTATCACAGAAGTTAAGCCATACCACCTTCTTGTTTAGCTTGCAGCATGGGGTCGTTCTGGTCTATATAGGTTCTCGAGAGAACAGAATAAGACTAGCCAAGATAGGATAAAGAAATGAGCAAGACACAAATACCCAAAAACAAATAACAGCAAAGAATAAATATAATATATAGATAAAGAAAAAATACAGAACATGATGTAAATACCTGTTACAAGATCATTGCAGAGTTTGCTTTTCTAAATTTCAATACCATGTAGAAATTTGGATAGTTGAAGATGGCCTCGACCAGAGGTCCAAAATGAAAATGACCTACCCCTTCGACGGTTGGGAAGTCAAGAGCCCCTAGCTCCACTCCGTAGGCCACTAAGNTGGGTCGTACAAACACTGGCACACTGATCTCACCCTCCATAAGTTCCGGTGACAAGTCTCTCATCAGCCTTCGGGTTTAACACTCAGAGCCTCACGCAAAAACACCAGCCCGCGCAAAGGGCGCAGCCAGTGTTACAGGAGAATGACACTACACCTCCCAAGTGGCGTCGGTAGTCGACTGCCACCCAGCACACTTCCACTGCACATCCACCATCCATGCGAGTGTCCATCGTACCACCAGTGCGCTGATCAAGCCAAGCGGAACTGCCGGGGGAAAATCCAAACTAGGGCTCCACCCAAAATCCATGATAGTGGCCAGTGCCTGGCCCCGACGTGAATTGGGGCCCTAATAAAAGGAGGTATGGGAGGCGAAAGGAGAACATCAGGGAATAACACCAAGCGCAACTCTGCAACATTAATGAAGAAAATAACAAGAAATCAAAATACAGTAAATGAGAAACACAAGACCATATAAGGCGTGCTCAACTAGCACGTATACAAATACAATATAGAAAGGAAAACATAGCCAAACTATGCCCTCTACGCATATAGGTTGCTGCCCAGCGCCGTTGTTTTCCATTTTCATACACTAGGGATTCTGATATTTTTTTTTGCCCCCCCCCCACTATCCAGCTCTCCTTGTCTCCTTGTCACTCTGGACATGGAAAAAATTAGTTTCCTACATGAAGATGTTGCAGTACAATACTACATGGAGATGTCGGAAGTTTTGTAACAGTAATTTTTCTGGAGTGGTCATTAGCCCTATGTCCAACTCCAAACCTCTAGGACCAGGGACTACATTTTGTCTGGCCCCTACTCTTTGGCCTTTCTGACATGAATGGCATTACCAAGATCCCGCCAGCATAGCTCTACAGGTCATTTGGGCACATGAACCTCCTCTCCACCATAAGGTGATAGTCCTCAAGGAGGTTATTGCTTTATTTTTGGTTTAGTGATGCTTTAAATAGCTCAGATTGTATGGCATTGAATGATAGGATAATTAGAAAATAATGAATTGCAAAGGGTAAAGTTGTTCCTGTGCTTAATTAGTTAATCACTACCCCATGAACACATTTGGGGAGTGGAGGTATAGCTCCGGCATTGATGACCTTGGCGTTAGATGGTGGTGAGTGGTTCTCTTTACTCCCCTGCCCAGGAAAGAACCCCCAGTATCCAGCAGATAGGAGGCTGGGTGAGCCCCAGAGCCAGTTTTACAGAATTTTAAAAGGTTACAGCATGATTAAGGGAGGCTGAGGAAAGCCACAAAGGCTTCAGTCAGGATTGCCAGTCTGTGGACTGATACGTGAACTGAGGACGTGTTGGATGAGAAGTATGAGTGCCGACCATTCCATTGGTAATATTTTGTATCATCTTATCGCTTGCTTGATTTTACAGAACCAGAGATGAAACCAAAAAAAGTAGAAGAACATGGTCAAAACAAAGTGAAGAAGAAGACAGAAGAAGATAAGAAGGTAATGAGAAAATAATTTTAGAAGAATATTTCTCTTGTGGCACATTGAATGTGTCTGATTTTTGTACCATATGGTCCATGGTCTGCAGTCAGGAACCTCATGGAGCCTAATGGCAAATGTAGTTCATTCTAACGACAGAGTGTCATTGGTACACAACATTAAGGCAGGCTCATCTCTGTTTTGAAATCAAAGCTGATTGTATAGTTAATATATTGCATGGATGTCAGCACTAATCAAAGCCTTTGTTTTTGTAGAAACTGAACAAATTGCATATTTATCATGGAACAGTGAGAATTTCAATAACCCAGAAACGGCCATTTACAGTCATTCATTTTAAATGTAACTCTTTGGTCCAACAGCGTGCTCACAAAAGAAGGCCACAAGGGGTTAAGAATAGCATCACATTGTAGGAAGTCTTAATGGTAGAAATTTCATATACACCCTCTTGCAGAGCTGCACCTAAATGAGAGGAAGGCAATGTAAACAGTAAAGCTATCCCTGTAGCAGGCTGTGGACGCCCATACAGTTGTGAGACATTGAGGCTCCCACATTTTCTAGACAGTCAGCTCACAGATGGTGGTGAGGTTGTTAGCCTTTGTGCCAGCTGCCATTTACACCCTTGGAAGATTCCTGGTACTCATTTCTGTTAAAGGCTGAGTTGACCCCAGGGCCATAGTGCAGCTTAAAGGATTAGGTCAACTGAAAAATCCAGTGACCTAACCAGGAATCGAACCTGCAACCTTCTGACTTGTAGCATAGTGCCTCAGCTAACTGTGCTACCAAGGCAGTGCCATACCTCAGCTGGTCAGTTGCTGGCTTCCCAACATGGCAGCCCAGGTTTGAGCCTGGATCTGGTCATGTGGGTTTAATGGTGGACAAAGTAGTGCTGGGGCAGGTTTTTTCTGGGTACTTCAGTTTCCCCCACCAGTTGCTCCACTATCAGTAGTGGCCGCAGTACCAAGTGGACTCAGTCTCACCCCGCTAAGAATCATAAAAAAAACCATGCTATCTCATGCACCGAGATGAGAGGAAGATGCGAGGCAAATTAACCTATAAATGTTTTTATAGTATCATCATTAACCATGTCATAAATAACATCACGTCTCATCCTTGCGTACATCTGAGGGGAAGCACATTAGCGACTATAGCTGTGTGCAGGGTACATTGAGCCTTTGTTGACATGGAGCTTGTACACATAGGTTCATCATAATTTTGCATACAAATTGTGTATGAAATTTTTTGTTATATGTTAATTACAAACGTAGTAGAAATGCAATATTTTCATCAGCAGATTTAACCTGAATCATCAGGAATTAAGGGATTTAAATCACCCGCCAGTGTAACACAGGTAGCCAGGTATTAACTTGTGAGTTACACTATTTACATAGAAAAAAGTGTGACACTAGACCTGCTGGACTCAGGCATGTGCCAATCCAGTTGTACAATGCACAGACAGTAAAGGTTTACCTGTACTAGTGCAGGTATGTACAAAACTGGATCTCTTAGTGCTTTGCTATCCCAAGTCATTACTTCCTTCATTATCCACTATCACTTCAAATCATAACCTGCCGAAACCTTAAATTCATTGCCTTTAGGTGGGACCAGCTGAATCTGTGCCCAAGAGACGCAGATCTGCTGAGCATGTGGACAGAGGGAGAAGCAGAAGATCGAAATCAGAGGAACGTCGTCAGAGCAGGCGATCAAGGTCAGGTGACAGAAGTAACTCAAGAAGACGACACGAAACTAAAGATAGAGACAAGCGGCCCTCCAGGTCTCCGGACCGTAAAAACAGGAAAAGATCAAGATCAGGTGACAGGAGTTTTCGAGTGAAGAAGAGGTCCTCATCACGAGGAAGAAGATTACGGAGATCTGCTTCTGAGGACAGGAGTAAGAAAAAAAACAAGGTAGAGATATAAATCTGTATCCACTTTAGTTGTATCATTTAATCCTTTCCAAAGTGTGTTTGGATATGTCCAATAGCCTTTGCAGGTATAGCCATAGTGCTTCATGTTAGTGGCTTTCTAGACTTTGTCCAATATCCAGTATTCTAGAATGGATGATGGTGTTTTGGGACCTGGCTCTGCTCTGAACTGCTTCAGTGACTAGAATTAGTTCTTTCTAATTGACTAAACTGAGTAGGTACTTTCACTTAAGATCAGAGCAGATCAGCTCTTGTTTAGAATATCGGGCGATGAAAATACTCTGAAAGGGAAGAGCGTTAAATGCAATGCACCATCACGAAAATCCTTTAGAATTGGTTTATATTGGTGATGTATTTGCTTATATCCTGGTAACCAGTGAAAGCAGAAGTGTTAGAATTTTTTTATGCTGGATAGGCCATTAACTGCACTATTACTGTTTTATGTATCGGTAGTGAAATTTTATGGCAACATTACCAAGGTGGGACAATGGAAAAAAGGGGCTATATTTCCGGAGTTGAGGGAAATGATAATCAAGGAAAGGCAGGTACAGCATGAAACTGAACCAAACCATTATTTTGATGTACTTGTACAGGAACAGTGTTGTAGTTTTTGGGTTTTTTCTTTTAGTCCCTGGTATGAAAACTGCAGGATAATTGTACTATCATCAGAGTACTTTTTGACATAGTCTTCACAAAAATTGGGACCCAACGTATTATGCCATTCTGTCAGTATGAACCTGTGTTCTTTTTGCTCAGCCATCATTTCACTGGTGTTTCCATGCTGTCATCACTTCAAAACTGTGATTTCCATGATACACAAATCGGCATACAGTGTTACCAACAATAATTAACATTACTTACATATACCCACAGTAAGTGTAGGTCCTTCGGCTGTGAGATCATATGCCATATAAACTGACCACCCCTTGTATATACAGTGTACCCCCTATTTAAGGTTTCTTTGGGGACCAATGGATTTGAACACTGAACTGAGGAAAATCTTAAATGGAGATAATCTGATACAGAGATTATTGACTTGGGTTAACTGAAATTGGAGTCTGAATGAGGAAAAGCCTTAAATCAGGGAATATTACATGAGAGTTTGTCTGTATTGTGATACTGAGAAGAAAAACGAGCTTCTCTCAGGTGAGAAACATGTATATCAGCTTGTTAATAATATTGCATTAACAACTGCTGGCCCATTTGCTCCTGAGGTTTGTCCTGCACATGCCGAGGACAATGAACATCAGAAAGTCCATCTTTCAGTCCCATGTCACAGTGTCATTGACATTAACTGATGTTAATCATGTGTATGTCATTAACCTTTAACATATGGACTTTTAAATTGCTGGTAGCCCTCTGCGGCCAGAATTTAAATGGCCCTGAGTCTTTAACATTGCAGACTTTCAGAAAAAACTACATATTTTCTGTTCTACACAACATAGAAATACAAACCAAAAACAACTTGAAAGACAATAAAATTTTGTACATATTGTGACATGTTGCGCAATGAGGACGTGGCGGATGAGTCAGCGTTCCATCCCCCCCTCCCCTCCACACTGTGACATGGCACGCAATGCTGCTGTCGACAAGGCGTCAGCCGACAGCGGTACCGATTACGTAACAGGCAAGCGCTGCGACTATATAAGTGAACCACACTGCCTACAGGGAGAGTGGCCGTCGCTGAGTTCAGTGTTGTTGTCAGTTAAAAACATAGCCGCCACCCAAGTTAGTTCTCAAGCCAGCAGCCTACAAGTTGAGTTGGAATCTAACAGCAGTTGCGGAAAGAAGAACCGGACACGTGTGTAATTGTGTAATTGGGAGCGTGTAATACAGTGACACTTGTATAGCTCCCGTATCGTAATTAATACGTGTAGACTACTGAGGACAGAGTGAATTGATTATTGTGAATAGGGTTATAAAGTGTGAAACCCCGCAGCAGTGTTGTAATTAATTGTAGCCGATACTTGTAGGTTGTTAAATAAACCAATTAACTCTTTGACTGGCGCGGGCATGTTTTAACGCCCGGATGGTGCCAGCCGTTCCCTGGCGTTGGTGTGTTTTAACGCTTTGACAATCTCTTCCCTTCTTTGCTTTCTTGGCACTCATCAACCAAAGACATATATATGATAGTTTTTGTGCATGTTTGTAAAGAACCCTTGTAAACTTTGTGGGGGTCTATATTACTGTCAGAACCCTCTGAGAAGGAAAAGGTCAGAAAATATTTCACATTCATTCAGTTTCACCATGGCTTCTTGCAGCAAGTGTCTTCGTGTTCCTACAGACCAGCTGGAAAATGTTGTGAACGAGATTTGTTCTGATGATGATAGTGGCGATGAAATAATGATTCCTGAATTGGATGAAGTTGATAGTGACAATAATACAGTGA